ATGAAGCACCCAAATGTATGAATGTATGTATGTATGTATTTATGTATGTCAATGTCATATTGCAGTATATGCAACTTTAGGAATTCCTAAAACTTTTTTCCGCCAGCTGTCAAGACTTACTTCGGATACCTTCTCCATATGCAGTGTGCAATAAGCTCCATCCAGCTGAGGAAAGATTAAATCTCCACACCGTCTGTTTTTAGATTCTACTGTTTGATCATGGCGACATGCAAACAAGAACAAAATCTTTGATGTACAAAATGTAGTAGGCTTATATTGTACCTTTCCATCTCGTCTACTGCCTCTAATTGTAATTTTGTAGTAATCAATGATGAGTCTGTTCGGCTATATGTGAATCCAAGTGTAAGGGCTCAACTGTAGCACAATCACAGGCTGTCAGATGTTCTAATTATAATTTCTTGAATCTGAGCGGTGTTTGTGTCTTCTCACGATGTGTCTGCATAGGTTTCCTCCAGGTGGAAGTTATAGTTGTGCTTTGAAAGAACACCAAAAAGTTATCACTTTAAAGAAATAGTTTTGCATTCTTTCAACTTGAATTTAATATTTGTTATTGCTTAGCAACGACCTGAAGTTGGTTATACACAAAAAGACCCATGGAACTTTTTACAATGATTATTATTAATTTTTTCTGATTCAAGCAACACTTTTTACAGTGCAGGTAATCTTAACCTAGAGCATCTGGAGGTGGGGCCCCGGGTGCTACACTGTGGTGACCCCGGCTCCTGAAGGAGGACCGAGCAGCCTTGCAGAATTACTCAAATGCAGAGGACACATTGGGCATTAAAGTATATGTTAACAGGGACATAACACGATTCTGTGTTCTATATTATGATAACCAGTGATCCCCGTGACTTTTGGCTGAATATATGGTTCAAATAAAAACATTTGGCATGGAAAAATGGAGTCGTGTAGCTCCTCCATTAGTCCCAAACCCTGTTCAAATTGTGTCAATACTTTTCCAATGCAAAGTGAATTAAACACATTCTTCATGTGGTATGAGGTACATTTTAAGCTGTCTAGTCATAAATACAAACTTAAGAAAAACAAAACCTCCAATAGAAATGCTATAATTATAAAATGCAAAAAGATTTTTTTTAAACTCACAAGAAACCAATATTTAGTGGTAAAAAGCTCGTTTGACAAAGCCTAAGTGAAACGTGCATACATACCCGTCTGCAGACAAAGTTAAATTGCATTTTTTTTATTTGAGCAAAAAACAAATACAACACGAGGCAGATGTATCATCCACATATGACGGATTCAGAAAAGAAAATGGACAAAGAAAGTAAATAATCAGTGGACTGAGGGGAGAGCAGTGGCGGGACCCGTATGTGAGGATAAAAATAAACATCCATGAATTACGTAACAAACAAAAAAAAAGCTTTGTATGTGTAACTATCAAGTGAAAACCCATAAAACTTGGCCAAAAATAGATTTTTAGGCCACAGCCTCTTTAAATAATTACAAAGCCAACAAAAAAGACAGACACGTGACATAATACACCTATAGACACACACAAGCCTGTGTTAAGTCCTAGTTGAACTCACAAATAAGCTGTCAATCAGTTTGTCCTAATTACAATGTTTTTTGCTCATTTTCACACACACAGGAGACTGATATAGCGACCACAGATTCAACACAAGTGGTCAATAATATGTAGGCTGAATAATGCAGGAGAGGAGCCTCTGGGGACGCTGTGGAGAGGGTTGTGAGCATTCCACATGGGAAACTGCACACATATTTTTTCAGGGTAATAAGCTGTCATGAGAGCAGTAATGACTGGCTCTGGACCTGTACTTGTAATATGGATGCATGTTATAGCACAGGATGCATGCAGGAGTGTGCAAGCTGCTCATTTCACTTGAATTCATTTGACATGAGTGACAGCGAAGGTCGTGATTCAACTGGGATGTACAGTACGGTATAGGCTTAAGTTTAAATGAATTAGAAAACAGGACGATTACAATCAAAGACAAAAGGACAAACAAACCAATTTAAAAGTCAAGACAACATTGTCTGCGTGATGTGTAAATAAGTGCAGCCACATAGATCTTGATAACACAAAACATTAACAGAAACACTTAGGGACAATAAACACTCCCATTACGATTGATTTGAACAAGCACAGAAGGTGGGGGCTGGGCTGGCAGACAGAGGCAGGAGGGCGACCCCAGCAGGCAGGAGCAGCCTACATCCTCATCCTGAACCACTGAAATCAGCTCCTCACAAGCTGAGATCCTGACAGGGACAGCATTGGGCCCGGAGGCAAGAAAAGGGCCATCATGTGGGTTAAAATGTATGCACGAGGGAGGCAATTATAGAGAACACTTTACTTTTTAAGCAAGCTTTTTAGGTGTCCGGTAAAAAAAATAATGGTTACCTTTCATATTGCAGTTTCCACCAACTCAGAAAATGATTAGTTCTGTGAATTTGATCTATTACCTTAGAGAAGATGATCCAGAGTAATACAAAACACAAAACAAACTGCACCAGGTTCTCTTTTTTTTCCTTAGACTTAAACAGTTGGAACATAATTATCATTTGAGAGCACCTACACTTGATACACATTTTACACTCATATTTTTTACTTCCAATAGTCCAATATTTTTTTCAATACTCCTCCCCTCCTGTGGACTCAGCACCTGCAGAAGGATCAGTGAGGGGCTGGTGAATTGGGTGCAGCTCAGTCTGCCACCCCCCAACCCAGAAATGGATTAAGGGGAAGAATATAGAATGGATGATATCACAATACAGTAGATTATGTATAATATTTGTGGACCCTAACATGTATTAATAAACTCTTATCCCTGTAGACAGTCACATGATCAGTCTGACGCAGTAGACGCACTGATATTTTGTATTGTTTATTAACTAGCTTAACTGATTCCTTTAGGGTGAAACATTAAACTTGAAACCCTGAGAAGAGGCTCTGTGTTGGACCAGTGTAGAGTGGTGAGGGCTTGATTGATAAAGGTCTGAGACACATTTAGATAGATGTCCTTTAATTGACTTTATTGGTGTTCCCGGTGGTCGCGCTGTATCTAGCAATATAAACTGTTGATGCTGCAACACGGACCAATGGGTGTGACATCACAGTACAGGGTCAGGGCAATGTCCTCCAAAGGATAGACCCTTTCAGATGAAATATTTGGGTTCTTGGGCTGATCCCAAATGCACCATAGCAACTTGACCAACTCTTTTAAGTGTTGGATGTCAGTGTCCACTACTCAGAGATAAAAGAAAGTCGGTGCCATGCCAAAAAAGCTTCCAGAAGTTTAACAATGGAAAAAGTAAAAAGTCTGTGGTCCACAAAATCCAAAAACCCTTAAACCTAAATCAGAAACCTCTCTCTGTAATACGTGCTGTACTTCAAGTCAGAGTCATGCAAAAACTGAGAGGCTTTAGTGAGCGCAGATTTCTCTTTTTCCAAAGACTTCTCGTGGCTCCACTTAATGTACTAGCTCCACTCAATACACTTGTTGTCCAACATCAATAGTTATGCTTTTTACTGCCAAACCACCATCCTACTTTGGTTTATAGAATTTTTTTAGCTAGAATAAATAACAATGTATCTCTGCGTTGTATATTTCTGATATCTGTACCTTTTACTTTCATGTCTTTCTTTTACTCACAAATATCTGTGCTTTAAAATTCTGACAATAAATGGGCTTGTTTCTTTAGCAGATGACAATAAACCGAAAACAATTGCAAAAAACCACTCCACAGATGGAAGACTGTGTGTACTGGAGACACACTTCAGACCGGTGAGAGGGTTTCCTGACATGAGAGGCACATAATGTTACAGCAGCTCCCCAGAATGGAGTGTGGTGTACACTTGTTGTAAAGACATAGCTCTCACTCCTGTGTGATCCATATGCTCTGGGGTGTCTCCTTTATGTATACATGACTTTGAATGGGTTTCACTAATCTGGTGACTTTGAGTATACAGTACCAGTCAAATATCCTCGTGTTTCTGTCATCTGTCCCACAGAGAGCAGTGCCATGTGCGACACTGTAGGCTGCCGAGTGCACCTGCAGTATTTAATAATATACACAATAGATATTCAAGCTACATTAATCTCGTCATTCTTGTATTGGATATTGGGGGGCTGAGTGGATAGTACTCTTGCTTCTCAGCCAGACCATTCTGAGTGGCATTTGCATGTTCTCCCCATGTCTGCACAGTTTTACTCCGGGTGCTCTGCATCTCTGGTATTGACAATACATTTTAGGCAAGTCCATGAAGGCATGAAGGCCCAGAGAAAACAAATATTGTAAGGCACCACCTCAAACATCAATTTTTATGTGAGCCCAACTTGAAATAATGGCCCAATGCCAAATGAAACATACTAAAAAATAGTACATGCAAGGACATTAGAAAATAAACATTACAATACCGCCCTGGCCGTATTGAATCACAATGTCACACTTTAGACTAATGGATGCACTGATGTCTTCCAAAAAGTAAAACTTGGTATATACTAATATGTATACATAAGTACACATAAGTATAAGTGCAACTTTTTTCATCACGAGGATTGTTTCTGCAACTATGATGCAACAAACTTTTAACAATGCAGTTCCTGCAGAGTCACCGCAGCAGCTGAGGAGACAAACTATTAGAATGGAAAAGAAAGTATGGTGCTGTTCAGGGAGAGCTGTTAATGGTTCATGTATCCTAGCGGTGTAATTTAAAGAGGAATAAGGGCACAGCTGTAAATGAGGAATCTTGTGTTTACAGTTTGTGCTCCTGCTTGAGAAATTTTAACTTCAACTAAATCTCAACTTTTCTCTTTAGTTGCCATAATCACATTATGTGTTAATTCATAACAAAGTACAAATCAACAGCATGCTTTATATGAGTTGTAAAATAGGCCATGTGTCTGTAATGATAAATAATCTGGATATTTACCTTCTCTGCTCAGGTGAGTGGCATCAATTCATCGATGAGCAGAAAGCGAGAGCAGCGGGTCCTGTTCATGGTGTCGGTGATGGTCATCTGTTACCTGCTGTGCTGGCTGCCTTACGGGATCATGGCTCTTCTGGCCACGTTTGGGCCCCCGGGTCTGGTCACTCCTGAGGCCAGTATCATCCCCTCCATCCTGGCCAAGACAAGCACTGTCATCAACCCGGTCATCTATGTTTTCATGAACAAACAGGTGAGAAACCTCAGTGTTTTCACGCGTTATTGAGGTTAGACCTGGATACACTTCAGAAGCAACAGTCAATACCTGAGTCCTGTATGAATCATTTTTTGTAATGGAACATATTCGACTTTTTAATTACCACAAATGCTTATCATATTTTAAAAACATTTAAACCTTTAATAGTAGATCACCTTTTGAGTTAATATTTCTACTTAAGCGTGGAACTGAAATATACCTCTTTGGGGCATCTCACTTTTTAGGCACTTTTACCATCAAACTGCATCTCAACCAATTGGTAAAGGCCCATAATACAAAAAAATAGAGATTACCAAAAAATGAACAAATGTTTTAGTAGTGTCCTCCAGCTTAGAAAATAAAGAAAAAACATCACCTGGGGACAGCTGTGTGGCTCTCAGAGGAAAGATGAACGAGACATTTTACTTTAATACGACCCTCCACATGATCAGACCGCCACGTCCGCTGTCAGCTGCCATATGCTCCGGTTCATGCATAGACTTAAAACTGTCGGGTAATTACACTCAGACATATTGGGTTCAAAAGATAAGGGAACAGCTTGATAATAAAAATGTTCAAAAGTAAAAGAAGGCTCTGTCGACTTTAAGCTGTGATAGAACAATACAAAGGTCACTGTTATCAGGCAATAAAAAAACCTGCACTTTCTTATCATAGATTATCAGAAACAGTAAAATCCTTAAAATCACTTTTCATTTAATCTCTTCTTATTAAGGCGTTTCTCCTTGTTTCATTCTGTAAAGTGAGTTCAGAGTCACTTTATCCCTACTTTGTTTTGTGTTGTGTACTTTTCAAATTCCTTACTCAAACTAAATCTGTGCTGAAAAATAGTGCCGGAGATTTATGATGTTCTGAGACACACTTTCTTTATAAAAAATACACCTTTAGATAAAATAAATCTCTCCTCACACAGGGGCAGAAATGAAAACACTTTTCTTCAATGTAATCTGTATCATCTTCTTCTGGTCTATTAAATGAAAGAAAAAATGCTGGGTAATCATTTATACGAGAATGGTCCCTATAGACGGATCCAGAATTGGATCAAACACATATAATGGGATTTTTACAAACTCTGATTCTGTAGTGAACTGGTTTCTTTCTAGATCTATGTCTTCACGCTGTCAGTTTAGGAGACACTCAAGATATTGCAGCGTTAATTCATTGGATATCGCTGTAAGATAAACACTGGATACCAAAAGTTTACGCTGTGTAAAAAGACACATGATTTTTTCTGATTTGAAATACACTTTATTTTTTATCCTTAAAGGGAAATTAGATCTGCATATTACCTCGCTTAATAATGTGGGTTACAGTAGGCCAATACAAATATTTTAGATAAAAATAGTTGAGTTTTATTATATTCATATTTATATTTAATTTATTTATTATGTTTACACGTGTAAACATGATTATAACACAGGTCTGTATCGACTCCAGCTGTTATGTGTTGTTACAATGGAAAGACCCCTGGAGTCTTCATGGCGTCCCCCAGAGCTTTGACCCACAGTCGGGACACCCCATGTCCTGTATGTCATTTTCAGTCTTCAATTCCTCCCAGCCCGTTGCTATGGAAACTGTGAGTTGAGGCGAGTTGAAGACTAAAAATGCTGTACAGATTCAAGTATCCGGTGTCGACGCTGAATATTGAGAAGACACAAGTAGGACATCTCTTGGTGGTGAGTTCAAAGGTTCTTCTTGATCCATGATGAAACCACATGACGGAGGAGCCCGACAGGTCCAACTCTAACTTAACATGGATTGTTGCTCTGTTCACGTCACATATCTGCTGTTTGTATTATTATCATTACTGTTTATGTATCTGTCTCAGTCAAACATCCTTCAGTGTGAAACTTCATCAAATAAAAGTGCCAATACTGTTTTTGAGTACACCTCATGTAGATTGATGCTTAAGGCCATACTTTATTATTGCACTTTGAGATGTTTGTACGTATTCTAAGTGGATTACAAATCAATTTTTTTTATTATTGTTATTTCTATTTTAGTACTTGTATTTCTAACCACATTCAACAAAGAATGTGGTTAACACAGTAAATGACAACAACCTATTTCAATTAGTGTCGTGCACGCGCAATAAGTCCTCATTCCACATGGTACGTATGTGACACATGGTACGTATGTGACACATGGTACGTATGTGACACATGGTACGTGAAGCAAGAGGGCGCTAGTGGTGGCGCTGCTCATCGTGAAGTGTCGCATTTTACCCAACAGTCCAAGGGTAAAGTGCGACACTGCAGCAGACCTTTGGCAAAGATCTGAATGGAGAAGAATGAGACGGTTGTGGCTTATTGCTGGCAGGGCACTTTTGTTGCAACACCACTGTGTACTCAATGTGTACTCAACCCTATCGACCTCATTCTCAGCAATTAATGGAAAAGACAATTGCAAACCTCAGCCGGGGCCTGGATTGAGATTGAGATGGCCTTTGATATTATCTCACTACACCTGTGTACACCTTGTTTGCTAATTATACTACTACTACTTTTTGTTCACTAAAACCCCAGTCTGCCAGGTTAAAAATATAACATAAAAATTATATCTCTGAGTTGATCTGATTCTAGTAGTTACATAAAAACACTACTCACTACTTTCACATCCATCACTATTTTTGACCTTGGCCTCGTCCATTTGTTTGACGACTTGATCCCAGATCCTCGGGGGCAGCTCCAGAGTACTGCTGGGGGATGCATTAGTTTGACAGAAGGCTGTGATGGCGAAACTTCGGACTGATGATAGTTGGACTCAAGATGAATGTTGCTGACAGTGTATAAACAGTCAAAGAACTCTCAAGTCTCAAATGCAAGACTGCAAATTAGTTGTATGATTTGTTTAAAGTTATTCCCTATGACCATAAACATGTACCTGTCCTCAAATCATCTCTATCTGTTATTTGATCTCAACTGATTTAAACTCAATTTCTTTTTTCCCCTTGAAATCAATGATACATTGTACTTTTTGTGGAGTAGGACTTCAGATGTTCTTCCTACTCCTTTCATGTTATTGTGATATTCTTTGTGTTGCTCAATAAACAAAATGTAAAACCATGACATATAGTATAGTATTCAAGTTGATGCAGGCTTTCTGGAAGTTGTCACTCTACTACATTTTTTAATAAACCAAATAAATCCACTTTAAACACATGAACCAAATAGAACAAAGAACACCGCTTGAAAAGAAAGAACTTTCATACTGGTTTGGAAGTTTCAGTATAATTTCCCCTGCTGCTGGTTTTATGCAGATGTCACTGAACTATGCTGTTAATTGCATCTCATGAGAAAATGTAGTAGACTATAAGTATACATAAATATGGAGTATACTAAGTATACTACGTTTACTCAGGGGTAGCACTACTCACAGAGCATGAGTCTTTGATGTTGTATCCATGTTGTATGGATAGAAATGCCAAGAATTCCAAGTGTTGTCAAATGCCCTGAATGCATTGTTATGCTTTCAACCTGCTGTTGGGGTGCTCTATAATTCATAATCAGATGGGGTACAAGCCTTTGAGCCGGGCAGCGCTGAGCCTGTGTTGTACTGAGGTTGGTGTAAAGTAGGAAGATCTACCTGAATGTATAATTTGCTGGCCTCCTGATCTCTTTCGGATTGAAAAATGTATCAAGGGGTATACATCCAGTATTAATCCTGCCTTGACAGTGCTTGTGTACATGTCAATCTCCCCTGGCAACTTCTGACAACATACTGTGTGCTATCATACATGTCAACATACTGTATATGCATTATTCAGAAAGAGTTGAAAATATTGTCATTGTATTGTACCAAGTAAAATACAACTACAAGTATAAAAGTACAACACTTTATTATACCTCCCTTAAATGAGTTCAATGAGGTAGTGGACAGTGAGGTTTTAAGATTCACAGTATGTTGAATCCAAACTATGGGTATAAGGGGATAAAACTGTGGGCTGAGCCATCGCTACCTGCAGGGTGTCTGCTTTACATTCACCTTTTTATTTCAACAATAAAATGCTATGAGTCTTTGTGTTAGTGTGCAGTACAATATTCTAATAAACAGCCAAACAACTCACCACCTGCAGGAGGACCAGTGAGGGGCTGGTGCAGCTGATTGCCATCGCCCTGATCCAGAAATGGACAAAAGGGAGTAAATGGATGGAGGAACATATCATGTTAACAAGGGGGAGAAACTTCCATTGATTCAAAGGCAGGGCAAGTTCTGCGTGTACCAGCTTGACCAATAACAGCTCAGTGCTCTGTGATTGTTCCAAAGACTTGCTACTTTCACTGGGAACTGTTGTGGAAATTTTCTGCAAAGTAAAGGACACAATAATGAAATATAAAATAAACAACCAAGAGCTGTAAAACAATCAAAGTGTGGTTTATCATCTCAGTAAATGTGTACATATACAGGAAATACAACCGTCAACCGCGTGGAAGGTCTCAAGTAGATCTGCTGACTAATGCTCACTCTCTCCCTTATACGGTGGGGCAAAAAAGTATTTAGTCAGCCACCAATTGTGCAAGTTCTCCCACTTATAAGAATGACAGAGGTCTGTACTTTTCATCATAGGTGCACTTCAACTGTGAGAGACAGAATGTGAAAAACAAAATCCAGGAATTCACATTGTAGGATTTTTAAAGAATTTATTGTTAAAGGCCCATTCCTCCATGCAGATCTTCTCGAGAGCAGTGATGTGTTGGGGCTGTCGCCGAGCAACAAGGTCTTTCAACTCCCTCCACAGATTTTCTATGGGGTTGAGGTCTGGAGACTGGCTAGGCCACTCCAGGACTTTCAAATGCTTCTTACGGAGCCACTCCTTAGTTGCCCGGGCGGTGTGTTTATGATCATTGTCATGCTGGAAGACCAAGCCACGTTTCATCTTCAAAGCTCTCACTGATGGATAGTTCTACTTTGGTTTCATCTGACCACATGACATTCTCCCAATCCTCTGCTGTATCATCCATGTGCTCTCTGGCAAACTTCAGACGGGCCTGGACATGCACTGGCTTCAGCAGGGGGACACGTCTGGCTCTGCAGGATTTGATTCCCTGTCGACGTAGTGTGTTACTGATGGTAACCTTTGTTACTTTGGTCCCAGCTCTCTGCAGGTCATTCACCAGGTCCCCCCGTGTGGTTCTGGGATTTTTGATCACCGTTTTCATGATAATTTTGACCCCACCGGATGAGATCTTGCGTGGAGCCCAAGATCGAGGGAGATTATCAGTGGTCTTGTGTGTCTTCCATTTTCTGATAATTGCTCCCACAGTTGATTTGTTCACACCAAGCTGCTTGCCTATTGTAGATTCACTCTTCTCAGTCTGGTGCAGGTCTACAATTATTTTCCTGGTGTCCTTCGACAGCTCTTTGGTCTTGGCCCTAGTGGAGTTTGGAGTCTGACTGTTTGAGGCTGTGGACAGGTGTCTTTTATACAAATAACGAGTTCAAACAGGTGCCATTACTACAGGTAACGAGTGGAGGACAGAAGAGCTTCTTAAAGAAGAAGTTACAGGTCTGTGAGAGCCAGAGATCTTCCTTGTTTGAAGTGACCAAATACTTATTTTCCACCATAATTTAGAAATAAATTCTTTAAAAATCCTACAATGTGAATTCCTGGATTATTTTTCCACATGTCTTTTTTCTGTCTCTCACAGTTGAAGTGTACCTATGATGAAAATTACAGACCTCTGTCATTATTTTAAGTGGGAGAACTTGCACAATCGGTGGCTGACTAAATACTTTTTTGCCCCACTGTATATAGGATGGAACAAACAAAAGAGTCTATCTATGGCGTCTCTGAGTAATAACTGTCGCTCAAACCCCCTCTCTTCTGATGTCTTACTCTGATACAACTCTGATATTACGAAGAGAAATCAGTATGACCGGGGCACCGCGCTCCTCGGTCCAGATATCAAGCTTGCATCTCTCTCCCGTCCTTGGCCTTGGCGTCTCTACAGAACAACAGATAGTTAGCTTGACCTTTGTCCCAGTGTGCAAAATTCATAATTAGATTCATTCTTAAGTTAAATTGATTTATAATCCATCCATCCATCCATTTTCTTCCGCTTTATCCGTTGCCGGGTCGCGGGGGCAGCAGTCTAAGCAGAGACGCCCAGACTTCCCTATCCACACACACTTCCTCCAGCTCGTCCGGGGGGACCCCAAGGCGTTCCCAGGCCAGCTGAGAGACATAGTCCCTCCAGCGTGTCCTGGGTCTTCCGCGGGGCCTCCTCCCGGTGGGACGTGCCCGGAACACCTCCCCAGGGAGGCCTCCAGGAGGCATCCGGAACAGATGCCCGAGCCACCTCAACTGGTTCCTCTCGACGTGGAGAAGCAGCGGTTCTACTCCGAGCTCCTCCCGTGTGACTGAGCTCCTCACCCTATCTCTAAGGGAGCGCCCAGCCACTCTGCGGAGGAAGCTCATTTCGACCGCTTGTATCCGCGATCTCGTTCTTTCGGTCATTACCCAAAGCTCATGACCATAGGTGAGGGAGGGAACGAAGATTGACCGGTAAATCGAGAGCTTTGCCTTTCGGCTCAGCTCCCTCTTCACCACAACGGTCCGATACAGCGACCGCATAACTGCGCACGCTGCACCGATCCGCCTGTCAATCTCACGCTCCATCCTTCCCTCACTCGTGAACAAGACCCCGAGATACTTGAACTCCTCCACTTGAGGAAGGACCTCTCCACCCTCCTGCAGAGGGCAAGGCACCTTTTTCCGGTCGAGCACCATGGCCTCGGATTTGGAGGTGCTGATTCTCATCCCAGCCGCTTCACACTCGGCTGCAAACCGTCCCAGTGCATGTTGCAGGTCCTGGCTCGTTGGAGCCAACAGGACAACATCGTCCGCAAACAGCAGAGATGAAATCCTGTGGTCTCCGAACCGGACCCCCTCCGACCCCTGGCTGCGCCTAGATATTCTGTCCATAAATACAGTGAACAGAACCGGTGACAAAGGGCAGCCCTGTCGGAGGCCAACATTCACCGGGAACAGGTCTGACTTACTGCCGGCAATGCGAACACAGCTCTGGCTTCGGTCATACAGGGATCGGATGGCCCTCAGCAGAGGACCTCCGACCCCGTACTCCCGGAGAACCCCCCAAAGGACACCCCGGGGAACACAGTCGAACGCCTTCTCCAAATCCACAAAGCACATGTGGACAGGTTGGGCGAACTCCCATGAACCCTCGAGTATCCGATGGAGAGTATAGAGCTGGTCCAGTGTTCCGCGACCGGGACGAAAACCACACTGCTCCTCCTGAATCCGAGATTCGACCATCGGCCGTAACCTCCTCTCCAGTACCTTGGAGTAGACCTTACCGGGGAGGCTGAGGAGTGTGATCCCACGATAATTGGAACACACCCTCCGGTCCCCCTTCTTGTAGAGAGGGACCACCACCCCGGTCTGCCACTCCATTGGCACTGCCCCCGATCGCCACGCGATGTTGCAGAGACGTGTCAGCCAAGACAGTCCTACAACATCCAGAGACTTTAGATAATCAGGGCGGATCTCATCCACACCCGGAGCCTTGCCACCATGGAGGCTACCAACCACCTTGGTGACCTCAGCCAAGGTGACCTCAGCCATGATTTATAATCCCAGTTAGATTTCTACAACAGAACAAATGCACTCAGAGCCTCCTGCATGTGCCACAAGTGTCAGAATGTAGATTGGGGATAGCTGGTCTCTCCTCTACAGCAGCGTAATTATCAGCCCCTCAATCCTACTGTTGGTTTGAACCGTGTAATTATCCAAGTCACCTCACCATATACTGTATGATTGTCTCGCCTGGTTAAGTAAGAAATCTTTATTTATATTGCACATTTCACAGACTAAGGTGGGTTTCACAAAGTACTTCATAATGTCATTGGAGTACTGTGATTTTTACATTTCCACTCATACCTAAGTGGGAGGGGAAACCGGAGCACCAGGAGGGAAGCAACTCCAAACACATGGGTTGTGTCTGGAGGTGGAATCAAACCCAGGACCTTGTTGATGTGAAACACAAACGCTAACCACTGCGCCACCATCATGTACCTGTTGTAGAATTACAACGAATACAGGTAGCAATAGTAAATAGTACATAAATAAAATACAAACCAAGAGCTTTACTACAATAAAAGTGTGGTGTATTAAAGGAGCTGTATGTAAAAATCTAGCCCAAAGTGGAACTCCAACCTCTCCCACTCTTCCTGACCTTGCCAGATATGCAGACGAATCCAGCTGGGACCATAATATCTGAAGAGACAAGATTTTTGTCAACAACAAATCTATAACCAACACCTTTTTCGAAAAAAGCATGATTTATTAATGCATTTTGGGATATTAGGGCCGTTTAATGATAACTTGACGTAAAAATCGTACATGTTGCTAACCCTAACCCACTGACAGTACTCTAATATAAACACAATAAATATTTACTCAAATATTACATTAATTAAGTCAACACTTATGTGTGTCACGGCAATCTCTTTTGGTTTCTTGACTAATCATAGTCTTGATCTGCTGACCCTACCACCAAGGCCTACAACATAACTACTCTCAGTTATTATCTTTTTCTGTCCAGTTTTACAGGTGTTTCCAGGCCTTTCTCCACTGCACCATTCCAAGAAGAGGCTCCAGCGTTAGGAGCTCTTCCCGGATCTTTACCAAAGTGTTTAAAGGTGGACCAGGTGCCCAACGGCGAACCAATGACTTCCTCGTCATGGTGGCTTCTCTCGGCCAACCGGCGATCACAGTGCCCCAACTGGGATGCTCCTTTGAGCCCACCATAGACATCACCAAACCTCAATCGTCAGACATCGTCAACCAGCCCGTGGTGGTGTCTCTGGTCGCACACGTTGATGACTGATGATGAGACTTGAGTCATATTTCTCTGAGAACTCCCAAAATGGCTTGGTGAAGAATTCATCTGGTTTTAGGTACTGTAGCAATGACATGTCAAAAGAAACATTTGCCTCGACACAACAAATGCTTGTTTTTCTACAGAGGACGCTAAATTGTTCTTCAACTTTTGTTCTAAAGGGAAAAGGCAAGATTTATTGCCATTGAACACAAAACTATGACGTGAAGGGGATAGCTTCTTTTGTCCTATCTGTAAAAAATTGTACAGTTTATTTTAATAAATCAAAGACAAACCATAGATAAAATAAATGTTTATATGGATTTGTAAGATTCAGTCGAGCACCTCAAAAAGACACGGAAAGAACGTCTTCTGGTACTGAAATGTTTACACTATAGAGATATGAGCACAAACGTAAACTTGGTTATTTTGTTGTAGAGCTGCTACCACTGATCCAAGAAATGCAGCCTTTTGTTATAATGGACACAAGCTGCATGTTGGTCTCATTAGTGTGAGGGTTTGGTCCATTAATGAGACTGTTGATCCACTGCAAAGACAGCATCTACGAATGTAGTACCACTAGATTTGGTATCAGCCCAAACAGATGCTTCTTTATGTATGTATAATATATTTTTCTTTTGTACATTTATAGAAAAACCAAACATTTGAGTTGGGCTAAACATAATTCAAACCAATGCCCTTCAGTCAGGTGCCTTTCCCCTGAGCTCCTCATTATGGTGAAACTGTTTACAAGTTCATCTTTCAAACACAGGATGTGTGGATGATGTATTGATTAAATTTGTGCATGGAAAATCAAGAAATGGTCTCATTCAGCGATAATAATGCTTTCAACACAGACAATGCCTGTTACTTTTATTTGGATTTACCTTCAGTCACCAAACCTGGTAGTTATGTGATTTAAGTATCAACAGAATAAACAATCATTGTACCTTTAAACATGTTGCATTAAAGTATGTAGATACAGTTTATATTTGTGTATATGTATTTCTACACTTTATTGTATGAATACAAACACAACTGACATCTGAATGACTGCTGTTTGAAAAAGGTTACATGTATTGTTTTGTTTTACATAAACTTTTGTATGTACACATTTGTTTTTCTATCATTATTTCACTTCATAAAAATGTAAAGTGGACACACAGATATTCATCATGGATATTACACTGCAAAAAGTGACAAAAGTAAGTTAAAAACAGATTGAATTAAATTGAATTAGTTGAAGTGAATTTATTTCTCATTCCAAGTGAAAGAATTCTTACTTGGAATGAGAAATAAATTGCAAATGAATCAAGTTGAACATTTGTAGCTGTTTTCATGTGGTTCAGTCCCACAGAATGGTGGCTTCAGGTGATGGGCTAACGGAGAGTCATGGCCAGGCTCCCTTCAATGTGTTGTTTACTGGATTAGTCCTGGTTTACAGAGATAAGACATTTCCATAAACACATTCAACTCAATTCAGTTTATTTTTGCTTTGCCCTAAATCACAACAGTCGTTATCTCGGAGGACTTTACAACACTGTTGAATTCGCCCAAACACAAGAAATGCAATGATAAAACAATACATAGCACCATTGATTCAAAAAGGGGCGTAGACCAATTTCCTTAAATATTGATAAAGTTCAAAAATGTTGTTGACTGTTGAGTGTCCTTGGATGAACCACATGCCTCCGGTTTGATTTATCCTTTAAAACAAGTTTCTGTTTTTATCTAATTGAACAAGAATACAATCAGTAGGACATTTAACATGTCATTTGTATGATGACCAGTTGAAATAAAACACTGATATGGTGAAAGCTTCTTCTTAATAGTATACATCAAAGAAAAATCCAATGAATATGTCTGTAAACAAGTATTGGTAGACTTTCATAGTCACTGATGAAGAAATATAAGAATGTGGGTTTGCATGGCTAAGGATTCATAAAGAAAACGTTTTTGACGATAATATAAGTCAACAAATAAGTAATGTTTATTTAGATAGCGTCTTTCACAGACCAGTCACAAAACGATTTATATTTTTCACACAGGGATAGGTGCAGGAGCAGACAAATTGTACATGTTTTTAGTGTCAGGGGAAACCAGAGCACCCAGAGTAAACCAACGCAGACATAAGGAGAACATTCAAACTCCACTCAGAAAGGCCCTGTTCCGACTGCGATACGAACCTAGGACCTTCTTGCTAAGAAGCGAGAGTGCTCTCCACTCAGCCACCGTACAGCCACATGTAGAAATAAGATAAGATACGGTTTTGTTCCAAGGGGAAGCAGGAAGAGAGAATGGTATATGTTCTAGAGATCCTTTATTCGTCCCACAGTGGGACAATGCCAGCGTTGTTTTGCGGGTTACATACTAGAACTGGATTCCACCGCCTCTGTGCCCCTCCATTGGTTCAGCTCCGCTCCAGAAGTTTGCACTGGTTTTCTTGTCAAGCCACAAGTTCAGATCTCTCCAGAAAAGACAACTGGAAGAGTAACAAATTTAAGAAGATGCAGTCTTTGGGGTATGGAAGACCAAAAGTGTCTAAATAATAAGTGAATTGGAATAATGATCAATGTCACACTCTGCCAAAAATGAAGATAACACTTCAAATTATGGGATCTAATGAATATAGATTATTACAATGGGTTTTGGTTCAAAACAAAATAATAAAGCCAAATTATGTTCTCTGTCTGCATGTATTTATTTCCTAGTAAATAAAATATATTTTATTGTTATTTAACTTCAGTTTTCTGCCCAAAGGGAAGAAAAAATCTTGCATTAAATCATATCTTTGCACTCACGACAAATATACCGCAGCTAAAAACAGATTTGGATCATGGGAGCCTCAGGAAGTTCTGATGTCCTTCCACAGGACTCCCACTGAAGCGCATCTAAAACTCACTAAATTAAAGCTGGGGTACCTACATTTCCCCTTGCAATGAAAATGCATGTTGGTTGTGTTGTAAAGTAAAATGCTGTGAACAAATCAGGCCACATCAGCCAGTCTTGCTCTTAATACGTGTTTGTTTTATCTTTATATTCATTTCCATCTTACTTTTATACTTTTAAGACAGAGCCATGCGAGTCACTATTTGACTTTTTGGACTGAGGGTGGATTTTCTGAACCATTCAATGTATGTAAGGGGGGCATGAATGTGTGTGTTCGTCTTTTAAAAGGCATTCTGGCAGAAAATAATTGCATCCGTTGTCCCACATTCGCACTCACAAACACACGTTCATTCATTGACCCTGAACTAAGAAGGTTCGTTGCTATCCACTCAGCCACCGTGCCGCCCACAAATATCGCAAGTATCACACTAATCCATGCTTAAAACATAAAATCTTTATCTTTCATTCAAAATTGAATCATAACAATGAATCATGATAATAACATAGTCATCTTTTGCACATGGACTCTTTCTGAAGAGGACGTTCCTTGGAAAAAAAGAGGGAATTTAATATTAGAATTCTGATGGAGGCCGATGACAGCCTGCGTTCTGGCCTTGTCCTGTTCATGACTCAGCAATGGGAGCCTCCAAAGTGAGACAAAAAGAATCCGAGTCCATAACTGTTTTTGTTTGTCATTGTGGAAGGTCAGCAGAGCAGACAGATGGGATACATACATGAAATAGAGCAGTGTTTCTCAACCAGGGGTACGCAGACCTCAGTGTGCATGCAAGGCTGTTACAGGAGTTTCTCAAAATAATTTTCCAAACTTCCAAACAGTGATAGTAAGAGGTTTCTATATGAGAGAATATCTATTATTCTCTCAAGGAAGCTACCATGGCATTTATTCTATTCTAAACATTGAAACAAAAATAACGATCACAATTAGATTACAATTTAAATTTACATGCAAATTATATAAGACCAGTTAAAAACAACATTTTCACAAAATTATGGGATAACAGTGAAACCAGAAAACAGCTGTGGCTCGAACAAAATAATGTTTCTCAAGCAATTGCAATTTCTCCCCTAACAACTACTCTTGCCACATCTATGGCTACACAGGGCAAAACAGGTTGGGAACCTCTGGAATAGAGGACGCCATTGTACGCCATTGGGCTTTTGGACCCACATTGTATAGCCAAGGTTAATTGCCTTCTCTGACTCTACCCCAGGTGACAATAGCTCCAAATGAGATGCATTAATGCTGTAAAATATTCACTTTTTGGGAATTCTGCTGCCAGGGCATATCACTGCTCAGGTGCGAGTCAAAATGAGTTACCGTGACATCAATTAGTATGAACTGTTGAGACCATTTTGAGAAGTGGCCACAGACATCAAATGTGGATTTACAACTTCAACACATTAATTAAATAAAAACACTATCAAAGCGCACCCCAAGAGGAAACAAAGATTCAACCTTTACCATTGCAGGAAAGATTACTTAAAAGGGGACCATGCAACTGTTTATGTGAATAAAGAAATCAGGTCAGAATAATGCCTTTCTTTTTGGGTCTACAGAGATCTAGGATCAATTGTGTTGTAGCGTTCTCTGGTGTGGAGGTCCAACATCAGAGAATAACTTGATCTTATAGCATCTTAAAGACCACTGTGATGGGAGGAAAACTGACCTGCCATACATCCACTGGGTCACTACAAGGTCAAATATGAACAAATATGATCTCTTTATTCTCAAACAGTTGCATAATACCCCTTTACGTTGTCATATATTCTTATTAAAATAACACTTCACAATTAAAATCATGACATATCATTCAAAGTCTGCAGATGAACTTTGTCCATGTGAGTTTATGTGAGCTTCGCTCTGTGTGGTAAAAGGCTTATGACACGGCAAATGGTTTAATTGGAGCCATGGGACTGAGTGAAGAAGGCCGTGTGGACAGTATCAGGTCATCTATCCTATGGAGACGTCTACAAATAAAGACTTTAATTTACACCAAGCTTTCTGCAGCAGGTTTCTCCAACTAAATCGATACTTCAGTCCCATTATGATTGATGCAGCAAAAAGAGATAAGATACCATCTCACTTAATAGTTGTGATC